GTAGCAGGGACGGGTGGGAGAGTTTTGCCCTCGGCTTGTGTGGTACAGAGGTCACATGAAGGAATGTCACGGTAGTTCTGTGGTATTCACTTCCGCGGGCCGTTCGCTAAGACGAAAGGATGTAATTGGTTTTGGGTGAGATCCGAATAGTTGCTTTGTCTCCGGAAATAACACCGCTATAGCACAATCGCAATAAAGTTGTGGAGGGAAAAAAATTAATGACACTGCAGGGGAAAAATATATTCGGCCAGCATTTCAACAACAAAGAAAGTTACGTAAAATAGTTTGACGTAGTAAAACTAGTGTCAGCCTAGTTTATATCACTGTTAATAAGTTTGTTTAAAACGGAGGTTTTAGGTTGGATCGTGTAAATATAAATGTGTCGTTAAACCCGCCAACACCAGACAGCCATTTCTTAAGGTTTGTCACGCTAACAAAACGTGCCAATTCGTTACGATTTCAGCACACCGCTTGTGTGTTGGAGAGTAAAACCAAAAACCTCTTATGGTTAATATTGGTCGGGAAAGCCTAAGTGTTAAACCGAAGTTTGTGTTTATATCATCATCATCAAACTCCATGGGCAAAAAGCCCGTAGGTGTCCATTGCAATGTTTGTCACTTGTTTACACTGCCGTATATCATGTGCCAACATGCTGAAACTATATAGACACTATGAATTTGCTTACGCATTAAATTGTATAGTGGAAAACAATACAGAATATAAACTGATCCCCACCATGCAGGCTCTGGACGACGGACGCCACCTTGTGGTAATATTGATCTATTGTGAATACAATTTTAATTTTCATCATTTGCAAATCCGCTGCTTGCACTCCCTGCCATGCTGTCTGTATGTTTAACTTCTTTCGCACCGTACGTAGCCAACCGACGTTTATGTTTATACCATCATCAAACTCCATGGGCAAAAAGCCCGTAGGTGTCCACTGCAATTTTTGCCCATATATCCTGTGCCAACATGCTGAAACTATATAGACACTATGAATTTGCTTACGCATTAAATTTCATAGTGGAAAAAAATACAGAATATAAACTGATCCTCCCATGCAGATTCTGGACGACGGACGCCACCTTGTGGTTATATTGAACAATTCTTATTACAATTATATTTTTCAGCGTTTTTAAATCCACTGCTGTACGCCCTGCCATGCTCTCTGTATGTTTAACTTCTTTCGCACCGTACGTAGCCAACCGTGCTAATCGGATGCCCTGGATGTTGCTTCACCATACTTCACCACGCTTGTTTCGTGCGAGTTGGTGAACAAGGGGGGGGGGGGGTATAATTCGCCAAGGGTGAGAGTCACAATCAGGTATCGAAGGCAGGTCTTCCGGACACGACTCTTTCATTATTTAAATTAATTTAAAACGTCCCACTGGAATGCCTAGACTATTGCTCTAGAGGGATGGCGTGTGCGAAATATATAATAGAAGTCCCTGGCTTGAAAACGTGTTATGACTGCTGCAGGTAAAGATGTAGGGACTTTCCCACCCTGTACATTACTCGCAATGTGAGTGTATACTAATACAGCACGATTGTTTGCAGAATCGGGTAGCATACGCAGTAAAGTTAAAGACAAGGCAGTGTGATTGTGGCCATGCAACCCAAACTGTGAACCAAGGATGTAGCCATGGAGTCAACATTGGGGGGGGACCAAATCTTCCAGGGTGTCTGGGGGTCCCAACCCAGAAAAATATCTACATTTGAAAACTAATTTCCTGCCTACATTTTTTTGTTACTAACACATGGGATGGGCTTTTTATTTATTCTATTACATTGCTCTGTTCTTACTTTATTACCATTGCTTGTTTCATTGTATGTAATGGCAGAGATTAGGGGTTAATAAAATACAACAATAACCGCAATCATATAAACATAAATGTATGCATTGATTTATATGAAGACAAGTCCAGATATTGTGGCCAAGGTTTAGCAAATTGGTGTTTTTATTTACACTGCATAACAATTATATATTTTTTATAGCAATATATTGGGGGGACATTTTGAGCATACATATTTGAATATTGGAGATGTATTTCGATTTAAAGCTTTCGTGACTGCAGGGATTCATCTTCTTGGTTCTTTCGGTAAAGTCACGTAAAAGGGAAATAATAAAGTAATAAAAATAAAACATAATAACATATTTTATTATTATATTATTTTCAAATGTTTTATTTTTATTATTTTATTATTTCCCTTCTACGTAATAAAATAATATAATAATAAAATATTTTATTATGTTTTATTTTTATTATTTTATTATTTCCCTTCTACGTGATTTCACCGAAAGAACCAAGAAGATATTGGGGATGTGTGTCCCCCAATATAATTACGGCATTGCTGTGAACCATGCAGTAAACCACCGCAGTCACCACTCCTTCAACGGAGCAGGAACACGACACGAGCGCTCTTCCGAAGCCCTCTAGTGGTGGCCAAGCAGACCTCGACATTGGCATTTACCCCCTGAACTTATTGCCATCCCCACCGTCGGATCGTACACCATATCGTGGCATACCTGTCATCTCTTAATCAGTGTCCCTACCTTCTTACAGACCAATTGAGACCATTTTTGATCACCCCGCGTCCCTTATAAATCTCAGCGTTCATCCAAAAGTCAGACCCCCCCTCACAAGGGAGAAACCCAAACAAATATAAATGTCTTCTTCTTGGTTCTTTCGGCAAAGTCACGTAGAAGAGAAATAATAAAATAATAAAAATAAAACATAATAAAAATAATTCTCACGACTTGTCGGCTACAACGCAAGCAACCGTCCTCAGGTGAAGAATGAAACACAAGCAGCTTAAATATACGCTCCAAGCTTGGTGGTGTTTCATTCTTCACCTGAGGACGGCTGCTTGCGTTGTAGCCGACACGTCGTGAGAATTATTTTATTATGTTAAATTTTTTATTATTTTATTATTTCCCTTCTACGTGACTTTACCGAAAGAACCAAGAAGATGAATCCCTGCAGTCACGATTACTTTAAGTTGAAATAGAAATGTGTTTTGTTGTTGATCGTATTGAAACGGATGTACGCCGTATGGGCCTGAAAACTCAATTTTCCTGTACACGAATACGGTGTGAACCGGTGTGGGTTGACAGCGATGTCGTGGTGGGTGAGTTTGTGTGTTTAAATGAACCTCAGAGCTACGTCGCCTGGAGTCTTGCACTCCTGGTCGGGTCTCCATTGGCGAACAGGTCTGGAGGGGAGGTTCCAGACAATTAACGGTCCCAAACAAGAGCGACATCATGAATGGTCTCAAAGCACCAAAATCAGAGAATCTCGCCCGGAAAAAGGGACATCGTGACACCAGGGCCGGATTCAGATGTTGTAGGCCCCTGGGCTACAGGTAATGTGAGGTCCCCGGTAATATTTTCAAAAGGAAAACAAAGTTAAAATAAAAATCTAATTTATTTTTACAAGGCTAACAACAAATAAAAAGCAGCATTCACAAACGACGTCACTTTTCACTGAATCTCTGGAGGTCCTCCAGCTGACGGAGGCCCCTGGGCTTGCAGCCCCTAAGGGGCCGTCCATAAATGACGTCACGCGATTTTGGACGATATTTGACCCCCCCCCCTCGTCACACGGCGTCACAAAAAGTCAGACCCCCTCCTCAAATATGACGTCACAAAGCTCTGCTCCCCCCCCCTCAAAATATAAAACATGCTTCAAATCGCTTTAAACTATTGTCATTGTAGTGCGTATTTAATGTGGCGCTGCACTCTGATGTTGTAGGAGAATATATTTATAAAAAAAAAGCATATTGAATTAAGTAGAACGTGTTAATTAAATATGCTTTTTTTATAAATGTTTTCTCATTTATAGTAGAACGTGTTGTCTATATTTATATTTATTTAAAGCTGCGCATTTTGATGTGACGTCACATTTCTCACCCCCCCCCCCCACCTCGTCACACATCGTCACAAATGTCTGACCCCACCCCACCCTAGGTGCGTGACGTCTTTAATGGACGGCCCCTAAAGCCCCGCGTCTTAACCCGACCCCTGCGTGACACACCCGCCCGGAGCCCGGCCCGGCGGTGATGTTCGCCGGCAAAGCGCCCGGTGGCCGGCTGACCCCACGTGGCCAGGTCAGGCCCGGCCCGAACTCGCTACGTTGGCACCCGTCCTGTGAGCCCACCATCCGCAGGACGCAGCATGTCGGCGAGAGGGATGGTCTCTGTCATGAACACACGGCTGCTGCAGCTCCTTACTATTAAAAATTCCCTCCCTTTATTACTGCTAATCCTACTTCCTCCCTTTATGACTGCTAATTCTACATAATACACGAGCATAATATGACTTTGAGACCTCCCCACCACCTACACATTCCACAAGTAGTGACTTATCCCATATCTGCATTTTTCATAAATATGCTAAATTCATCTTCTTGGTTCTTTCGGTAAAGTCACGTAGAAGGGGAATAATTATTTTATTTCCTTTCTACGTGACGAAAGCTTTAAATCAAAATTTATGATAAATTCCTCTGTTGATATGTAAATTCCTTTGTCAAGGCGCCCTCCTCCTCTAACCCAGCTTAAATATACGCTGCCAAGCTTGGTGGTGTTCATTCAGACGCTGTCTTTCCGACAGACCTGTTCTTCACCTGAGGACGGCTGCTTGCGTTGTGGCCGAAACGTCGTGAGAATTATTTTATTGGTTTATTTTTATTATTTTATTATTTCCCTTTTACATGACTTTACCGAAAGAACCAAGAAGATTAATAGTAGCCATTGTGTAACAAACCCTTCTGTAATCAAAACGGTATTACTAAAACTCACTTCTATTCAAAGTGCTGGTGATGTATTGAGAAATTGTCATTCTGCTTTCGAACTCATTAACACAAACGTGTTCCCCAGGGTGAGTCCTGGGTACTCGGTAGCCTTGCAGAGCGTCGTGGTGGTACTAAAGGCCTCTGTAAACAAAAACACGTTCACATCCACAGTCATAAAACAATAACAATGATGTAACAAACACAACATTGTTGAGGATCATTCCCATTTATTGCAATACACTGTTGTACAGGGAATATGAAGCCGATGTTGATTTAATAAAGCATTTCATTCAAACAGGAGCATTTATGATGAGAGGCATCTTAAGATTATTCAAAAAAACATAACAGGTCTGATGGCATAAACACTGACATTCTACTGGATAAAATGCAGATTTCCAGCAAGTAAAATGCTGGTACTTAACTTTAAGCTTGACAGCAACATCGCCAGTGTCTCGAATTTAAGGGTGGGATGATACATCGATTCATGGGATACATTTTGAAGCACACGTAAAAATCAATGTCACTCCTGCAGCCGCTGGAGGTGGCAGTTCACGAGAAGTCATTGAATTGCCAGCGGCGGGTAAATCATTCCACCCCTTCTTGAAACACATCCACAGCATATAGAGCAATTAAACTGAAAATGTTCCAATTTGGATATAGTTTTAACTCCAAGGGACTTAACCAATTTATTCATATACATTTACTTAAATACAAGACAAAAAAAAGCTTTGGCACCACAGTAACCTCTTGACAATGCCCTCCAAAATTCGAGCTGCAGTAATGCCGATCTTAAACTTCTTAATCTTAAACATGTTAAGTCGAATTTTTTTTCTTCCAAGAGAGAGATATATATAATTAAGATTTGTTTTTCAAAATTAAAATATATTGCAATACAAAGCTATGAGTTTCACAAGTTTTGTTTACTGACCGTTTATATAAGCATCTCTTTTATGTACAGTGCATTGGTAAAAATATTCTCAAAACAGCAAATATCTTAGCCAGAGTAAGCGAAGGTGAGTTCAGGCAGTGTGAAATTTGTAATCACTTTTTTTTCTAGCACCATTCACAACTTTTAACCCGTCAGAGGCGTCTATGCAGGGGTTAAGTATCAATGTCTTGCAAAAAGCAAACGTGTTTATTCTAGGACACAGATGACAAAAAATGTCGATTCTTTTGGATACTGAATATAATGTAATACACTCTATTGAATAAACTCTCTCAATACTACATGAAATAACATCGTATAACAACAGAAGCAATTGGATGGTGGGCAGTCACCAAGCTAGAGGTTTGATCGTGTATCTAAACTCTCCGTTCCTTGCTTCTGATTGGTAAAATAACATAGACGGAGTTGACCCAAATGAAACAACATAAATGAAACATTTCGTCGTAATAAAGTAATGTCTCTATGCTTGTTAATAATATATAAACTGATCTTTCAAATCTCTTTGTCAACTGTTAGAGCGCAGTGCTGGCAGCAAGCTAGTCTGATGATACGACTCACGGACGCTGCGCGTGACGTTTAAAAAACAAAACCAAAATACCCGAATGCATGATGTGTAATTGTTGACCCGTTGACTTTCAACGTGGAACCCAACGTGTCGGTCAACCGTCAGCACTGTCCGTAAGACAACTCTACAGAAAGCAAATCAGCTGTTATTCGACTGCGTAGGTCATCGCGGTCGAGTTGGACAGATCACCGCGATTTGTTTTCGGGTCGTTGCCGCGTTGTACTTTGGGATAATGTCCGACGTTTCGCTCCACGTGCTGGGAGCTTCTCCGGGAACCGAATTGAGCACAGATCGCCGTTCTCCCTTGATTATAGAGCGTCGCTGGAGTGCCGCTCATGTGGCTGGTTCTTGACGATGATCGTCAGCAGCCGGTGACGTTTACGTAATCAAGGTAGAACGGGAGATGCTCAATTTTGTCCCTGGATAAGGTCTCAGAACGTGGCGTAAAACGACGGACATGATACCAAATGACAAATGGTACAGCCTGAAAACACATCTGAGAGCCGGACAGCTCTCATTTCGCAGATATTACTCACCTACGTAGCTAGGAGCTGTGTTCACCTGGGCTGCCCGGCACGAGATTGAAGCTTCGTTAATGAAAAACTAAAATTTGACCTCATGATCGCGCTGCGACATAAGTGAACAGCTCTCCGATGTGTTCTCAGGTTGTGCGGAGCGTGTTGTTCGAATTGATTTACACTTTACTACGATGTCACTGCAATGCCACTACGACGGCATGCCAAAAGAGTAATTCGAAAGTATTTCACTCGCTGACAAACTTCAATCTCACGTCGGACCTACAGGCTCCGTGTCTGTGTGTCTACAAAAGGCAAAAAGCTGTTTCGTAATTTTTTTTTTGGGGAGGGGGGCGGTGGGTGCAGGGGCAGGGGCATCTCTTCCTTCAATGAATGCAAGTACGTTGAACTTCTTTTTCATCGTACGTAGCCAACCCACATGCTCAATCGACGCCCACGTCTAATTCCGCAGGTGCTGTCTGCTGCCCCTCTTGGCGGCGGCGAACGGGCGAATCTTCATCTCCACAAACGGAACCGAGTATTCGTGGCCTTTCCAGTGGTACCAGTTGACGCCCTGTTATCGGAGAAAACGAAACAAACAAAAAAACGACAAGCGAATGTAGCTACACGGTGGGGTGAGAAATGAAAATGCGCGAAAAGTTGACAACGTTCGCGTCGTAGACACCTTTTCAATGATATTTAAAGCCAAAGTATTTGTTCGTAAAGTTTTTATTTAGGATAAATCGTCATTGTCCTTACTTCAACATTGGACATAGCCTACGAACATCTTAGCAATGTCACAAATTCTAGGAATCGGAGTGTATTATGTTAAGTTAACGCAGATCAAAACCCTAAGTGATGGCTGGGTGTTTTAGAGGTCAGCGCGATTAGCTGCCACTGGTGAGATCCTCGTTTCAAATTCACGAATTAGGGACAAATGATTCGTGATACTTATGTATGTACGTTGAACTTTTATCGCACCGTACGTAGGCAACCGTGCAAATCGGAGGTGTGGGAAATCACGCATCATGACATTTTTGCAGGCAAGGACATGATCATGTTTTGGTTCTTTCGGTAAAGTCACGTAGAAGGGAAATTAATAAAAAAGAAAACAATATTTTTTATTAAAATAATTTTTTTCTTTTATTATTTCCCTTCTACGTGACTTTACCGAAAGAACCAAGAATATGAATCCCTGCAGTCACGAAAGCTTTAAATCGAAATTTAAGGACATGATTCTTTGCGATGCCATCACATTGGCTAAGAAGGCTTCCCATTATCGTTTTTTTAAATTGTTAATTGTTATGCAACCCTTTGATTAATGTACCACGTGTTCTTCGAGGGTGAGTCCTGAAGAGCAACACAACTGTTTACTAACATTTCATGAACGTTGGATCACCTTCATGAGGGTTACCACGACCCCATGTTACAGGCAAACACACAGATGAACGTTATTGATGCGTCAACTCTTTCAATCTTATTTGAAAAGCGTCACAAAGAAGGTTACTTCTTGGGTATCCCACCACGTGATTACGACACGGAGCGCCACTCTCGTCACCCATATTGATTTCCAAAACAAATATCAATCCGAAACAAAATACGCACACTTACAGATACAGCTCGTTTGTCAATAAATTGGTCGATAACGGCTTCCTCCACAGAGGTTTATGACCACACTTCACCACCCAGGTCAGCGTGGGTTTGACGAAAATTTTTATTTCTTTTTGCACGTATTTTTTCGTGATTTGTTAACCTTTTCCTATACTTTGCACTCCTATCATGTTTTTTGTATTGTTTGTTGTAACGCTCATTTCACGCCCCTACTGCACATCTGCGGAAAAGCGCTTCATAGTTCATCGAATTCCTCCGGCATAAATAACTATTCTGATTCCCCGCTTCTGACGAAGGCATTGAATTGTACCGCAGTGAAAACAAAAAACCCAACAGGTTTGATGGCAACGGCCGTTGTTTTGGCGGCGTGATCGGTGGCCGTGCCGCGAGACCGAGCGCCGTGCCCGCACCTGGCTGTGGCTTTTGTCTCCGTATTTGCCGTTGAGGTTGGCCCGGTGGCAGTTCTTGTACCACCAGGCGCCGTGGTAGGAGATGGCGCAGTTGGTGATGGCCACGTCGTTGTCCCGGTCCACCGTCGAGAACGGACGGCCCTTGTGGTAGGTCATCGAGTCTCCTGCGTAGGGACCACGAGGGGTGGATGGTGGGGGGGCGGAGGGGGGAGCACAGGAAAGTGACAAGCACCTCCGATTAGCATGGCTGGCTACATGCGGGGCCGAAAGAAGTTCAACGTCACGCACGTAAGAAATCCTGAGACAGCCCCGTAACGCGACCTTGTTTACAAAAAACTGGGGCGGGGTGTGCACAACACGAGCACTGCAGTCAATGCTTAACAAACTTAATAGGGATGTTAAACTCTAAGCAGAGTGAGTAAGTAACGACAGCATCTGCGCTCGTCTGTTGTGCATTTTTCTCTCGACCTCACCCCACTCTCCCTGTGCGTACGAGGCAAGGCGGCAATGCCCGTCGCTTAATTCTACTCTGCCTCCGTGTGGCATGGCTGGCTACGTACGGTGTGAAAGAAGTTCAACAAATACTACGAGGCTTTTTGTACAGCCCCCCCCAACTTCCGTGGAGTTTTTTTTTATATCAAACGAAGATTCGCACATTAATGTAAAAAAGGGTGACTTTGAACCATTCAGCAGAGGGGACTCGTGCCTCTTTCACCGCCCACTCCCCCCCCACCCCCACCCAGCACTAAGAGGCTGCTCTGAAACGTCGCTGGACGAACAAGTGTCATTTATTTTTTGGGGGGGTGGCGGGAGACGGCGGGGTGGATAATTCTGTCTATCTCTTTCCGAGCGGGCGGGGGGCGGGGCGCTGTTCTCACCGGCCGTCCCGCTGTATTCGCCGACTTTGAGCCGGTAGAGGCCACTGGCGTTGGCCACGGAGAAGTGGTCGTACACGGCATGGGCGCCCCACTCGCCGTCTCGCAGGTCCACGCGCAGCTCGTAGCGCCCTTGCGACGTCAGCGCAAAGATGTTCTGGAGGCCTGCGGGGATGTCGCAGCGACGAGGGCGAGGATGTGAAGCCCCCCTCCTCCCCACCCCGACCTAGCCACTAACGTGTGGCTTCGGGGCTTGCTGTACCCTCCCCCCCCGCACCGCACGCGCGAGCACGACCCCGAAAACGCATCGGGAGAACTATGACCGTATAACCCGTGAAAACTCACACAGTCTTCTTGGTTCTTTCGGTAAAGTCACGTAGAAGGGAGATTATAAAATAATAAAACATTTACATAATAAAATACAATTCTCACGATGTTTCGGCCACAATGCAAGCAGCCGTCCTCAGGTGAAGAACAGGGCTGTCATTCGGACGCTGTCTTTCCAACAGACCTGTTCTTCACCTGAGGACGGCTGCTTGCGTTGTGGCCGAAACGTCGTGAGAATTATTTTATTATGTTTGATTTTTATTATTTTATTATTTCCCTTCTACGTGACTTACCGGAAGAACCAAGAAGATGAATCCCTGCAGTCACGAAAGCTTTAAATCAAAAATTAACTCACACAGTGATGAGTAAACTATATCTATGGGACCTTTTTTGCCAGCATCAAAGTTTGAAAAATGTATAATGAGAAGAATTGTGATTTGAAGCTTTCGTGACTGCAGGCATTCTCGTCACAATGGCACGCTTCTCTCTCTCACCTGAAGACGGTCGCTTGTTGTTGCAATCGAAACGTTGTGATATATTACTTACTTTCCTATCTACGTGACTTTACCGAAAGAACCAAAGAGTAAGAAGAATTGGTTCTACCCTTTCTGGCAATAAAACAGGAGGTGTTATGATGTTCGAACACCAAATAGATCCCCCTTTCAGCAAGGAATCGAGCCCGCATTAACCACACAGAGTCCTTGTGGAAAAACATGGCAACAAACACGCTCTGACTTAGATATGCATTGTCTTTCAAACTGATTGACCTAATTATATATTTGGTGTTTGAACATTTAACACCTGTTTTACTGCCAGACAATGTAAAACCAATAACGAGTAAACTAAACTAAACTAATAAACTATATATTTTATTTTACCAGGTAAGGCCCACTAAGCTATGCAGATCTATTTTGAGAAGCGATCTGGCCACAAGCGACAGCCCAACGAGACGTGGCTTATCGCGTGGAAAATTACAGCAGCCAAATAATCTAAAACGCACGTTTATAGAGATGCACGTTGCTACTGTAAACGCAAAGTACATTAGTCAACGGATGATGCTTAACAGTGCTCCGCACCACATATCAAATTGAGTCCGACACCATAAAACTAAGCCCTTTTGTAAATCCACCACTTGATGAGGATTCCCCGCCCCACCACATGCCGTGCAGGTCGTAAGGATAATTTGAACATACTTCACCACGTTGGTCAATGCAGGTTGGGGGGGGGGGGGATAGAATCACAGTACAACAGTGGATTTTGCTGCAGCCTTCTCTTCCGACGTAGCACCGGCAGCAGTGTTTAACTCTCTGCGCGGCTTCCAAAAAATTATCAGATGGGGTGCATTTCGGGTGACGGAGGCTAATGACCGAGATGATATTTACCGAGCCAGAATTCATCGTTGATGTCTCCAAAGCCTTTCTCGTACGCCTTCCAGTTACGGAAGAAGTCCGTGAGCCCGTTTTGACGCCTCTGTACGACCTGTGTGAGTGCACATGAAACGCTGCGCTTAGCGAACCGTTCTGAATGAATGTCAAGGCAATGCCGCGTACGTCAGTCGGAAACACTTGGGAGTCGGTTGGTCGACTCCAAAGATTCCGAGATGTAACATTTGACATTTACAGCCTTTTTGTCTCTACACTGCCGGATGAGGGCCCTCACAAGTTCGTATGGTGTCGTGGGATTTGTTTGACCATATTTCACCACAACGGTCAATAGGGGGGGTCGGTGGAGTCGGGGAGCATATAACTGCAGTACATCAATGGACTGACCGCAGCAACCCTGCGGCCCTCTGATAACTGTGTCTACACCTTGTGCTGCACGGGGACAGCTGCCACTAGGGAGGGAGGGTCCCCTTGTGAGACGAAATGTCACGCAAAAGGCTCTTTTTGAGTTGCCGATGAATTAAACGTGCCCCGTCGCAATGCCAAATCATTTTCTGTACAACTTCCGTCAGGGAAATTTAAATTATTGTGAGGAAGAGGAAGAAAAAAATAACAACAAAAAACAACCCCAGTTGAGAAAAATGGCCACTCACGATCCATCCTCCGCCATCGGTGGTCATGTCGCAGTAGACCGACAGTGGCTGGCTGGCGTTGCCATTCAGGAAGATGGTGAACACGCCGCTGGCCTGGTCGCCCTGCAAGGCCTCGCTGCAGTCCATGGGGAAGCTCGTCTTCTTTCGGGCTGCTCGCAACGGTTCAATAATCATCGTTCAACAACGTTGCCACAAATGAACCACAATAGCTTGCTGAGCACCTCGTCAAGGAGCATTCACCACCGCGGCGAACTCTGCTCACCCTTGCAGCAGGGGCGGATTTTGGCTGGCAATCGAACAAGGACGGTCACCGCATCACGCGGCGCTTTCGGATGCGCCTCTGCGGTCGTCTGGAACGCTCTTCCTTCCGATATTAGGAAGCCCACTGGAGCTGGTACACTTTCAAATCTAGATTGAAAACTCATTTATTTAAAACAGATTTTTGTGTTTAGTTTTGTTGTCCTTTCCCGGCACCTCCAATTAGCACTGCTGGCTACGTACGGTGCGAAAGAAGTTCAACATATATACTTACGGATTTTGCTCTGTATAATGTCGTCGTCATCGTCATCCTCACCAGGTTTTGGTCAGCGATCCTCGAATTTGTTATGCAGTTTGCACCAACACTATTCGACAAGCCGCTGATCGCAACAGATCATTTACTATGCTTTCTCAAGCCATTGCTGGATGAAGGCCTCTCCGTGCCGTGCCAGGCAGGGAGGTTTGTTTAACCATACTTCACCACACTGGTCAGCGTCGGTTGCCGAAAGTGAAGTATCATTAAACAACCCCCATGACTGACCACGGCATCGGGGGCGGCCTTCGTTCAGCAGTGAATTGACAAACGACTAAATTATTGAAATTATATATATTCATCACCACATATTCTCTGTGCACCACCATGGCAAAAAAAAATTACACGCTCATAAATTGAATCCTGATGCTGAATCGTGACCATACGATGAATAGTGGAGGGGATGATTGATACATCCCGAGTGGATAACATCCGTAACACATGGTGCGTTCCTTTCACGTGGCCAGATGTCAGCGATTAAATGCGAGAAATTTACTGCCGCTTTTTCATTACGACCAGATGTCACAGAGGAAAGATTATTCAAATGTGTAACATGATAGAAATGTTACCGATAAAAAAATAAAACACATGACTGCGTAGTTGAGGCAAAAGCTGTTCAGATCTTATATTCAAATGCTGGCAGTCACCTGTGATTACAATGGGTTCTCAAGGGATAGTGCACAATTGATGATATCAGCCCAGTGAAGAATAACTGCACAAAAAAAACGCGCAATATAACAATTGGTTCTGCACTGAAATTGGCTAAATCCCAAGATAACACATTCCTGCGGAGGGAGCTGGTAGGAACGTTGGGTTGCTCGGTCAATGGCTAGGGTCAACGGCGGCGTGGTGTATTCCGCAAATATGCCCGACTGTGAGGGCGAGCACAAGCCGGCGTGAGTAGGTTAAACGTTGAGTTTTATAAGGGCACCACGGGGTGACCAGCCCCTCCCCACCCAGCCCCACCCCTCCCACCCCCCACCCAACCCCACCCTCCCCACCCAGCCCCTCCCCACCCTCCGCACCCAGCCTCTCCCCACCCTCCCCACCCAGCCCCACCCTCCCCACCCAGCCCCTCCCCACCCTCCCCACCCACCCAGCCCCTCCTTCCCCACCCAGCCCCTCCCTGCACGACGGACGCAATAATCCCCTGTGGGCTGGTGTAACCAGGACGTTCCTACCAGTATAAATGTGTCGTTAAACCCGCCACCACCGAACACAGCCATTTAGTAAAGTTTGTCACGTAAACAAAACATCCCAATTAGTTACTAGTTCAGCACACCGGTGTGTTCGAGAGTAAACCCACAACATTTACAATTCTATCTAACCCAACAAAATCTCTATCACGGATAATATTGGTCGTGAAAAGTTCAAAGTTCATTTATTAGGTATAGCCCTGTGAGCCATTCGGCTCTTGAATCGGGTGCAACCGCAACAAACAAAAACATGAACAAGAAAACATCTTAGCCTACGTGTTGAAGATTCCATGACATTATTCGAAAGAGCATAGCCCATGATGTGCGCCGGTGTCATCGTCCACATTTTTTTACTTAGAAAATATCCAATTTGGGAGACCACACCGCCCCCTGGATAAATATGAAAGCCATTATCATCATCATTATCTACCTCCGCAAGAGGGCGATCCTGAGAAAACCGGGCCAGGTGGCAACCTCTAAGTGGCATTCGGCGCACGGGCCGCGTCCGTCGCTCACCGGTGACGAAGGCGACCGCCGTGTCCGCGCTCTGCTGGGCTCCCTTGACCGCGCGAACCTTGGCGATGTACGGCGTGTCGGGATTCAGGTCGGTCAGCTGGTATTCAACCGTGCCGCCCGAAACGGTGACGGTCACGGGCTCTCCTAATTTGGGGGCGAGGGTAGAGAGCCACAATGGAACGGTGAATTATGACCGCAGGTGGTGGTGGTGGTGGTGGGGGGAGTGGTGGAGCAGTGACATAATAATGTGTTGTGATTGACATATGTATGTAGAACTTCTAGATTTGAAGCTTTCGTGACTGCAAGAATTCATACTCTTAGGTTTTTTCGGTAAAGTGACGTAGGTAAAAAATAAGTAATAAAAATAAATTATAAAAATAGAATAGAAATAAAATAAGAAATCACAACGAGGTGGAACCATCACAGCACGATTGCTGTAGCAAGTAAAGAGGATACAGCAATCGTGCTGTGACGGTTCCACCTGAAGACGGAAGCTTGTGTTGCCTTCCGAAACGTGATTTATTATTTTATTTCTATTATTTCTTCTATTATTTTTATTATCTCTTTTTATTATTTATTTTTTACCTACGTGACTTTACCGAAAAACCTAAGAGTATGTAGAACTTATTTCGCAACGTACGGGGAAGGACAACAAATGGACATTGCCACGAGAAGAGGATGCAATGAAAAGGATGGGCAAAGTTTACGACGATTGAGGTCGAAAGCATTAATGCAGTAGCTGTGTCCGGCTGTCCGTCCGTAACGGGGAGGCACGATAACTCTGGTAAAGATGATCCAATGTGAACGAAACCTTACTGTAAAGTTGTATTAATAACTGGCCAAATTGATCATCGGGTTTCCTACAACTTTGAGGCAGAAAAAAGCGCAAAAATGTCGAGAGTATTTGCAAGAATGCATAGGTTTTTTGGCCCAAAAGATATCCTTCGTCTTCCATGCTGCTGATTAAATACTTCCAAGAACAAAACACACGTTGGAAAGCATTGCATGTTCCATGTGTACGCACTATTTTTCTTGTTTCTATCCCAAACGAATGGGATATTATCACTCTCTGGGCGAGTGGTGATGCTTTAAAAATATTGGATGCATTTGCTCACCATCTTCGAAGCTGTAGGTGAGCGAGTAGGTGTCCACGGGGCCTATCGTGGGCTTCCACTTGAGCAGGGCCGAGCTGTCGGTGACATCCTCCGCGCTCAGAACGGACGGGCTACCCAGCACTGCAACACACAGCACCCCGCGGCGCTCGCATGACGTTCACCTGCTCGCAACCGTACCCACGCGCTTGCTTGCCCATCAAACATCCTCGTCGCCGCCGCTGCCGAGATTGCATTATTCCGACGGATGCGAGCTGGATGGAATTTTGTTGTTGTTGTTGCGAGCGGACGATCGGTCAGTGTCATTCTCGAGTTATGCGACGATGCGTCGATTCATTGGCGAGTCAAATCGTACCTGCGCGATGTTTATGATACGTGCGTCAATTTGTACGTGTGATAATTGATTGTTTGCTATGTATATTGGGTGTCATAGGTTCAGTGAGGGAGGTCTTCATCCAGCAAAGGATTGACCATGGTTGATGATAATACAGGGTGCTTCAAAAAAATGTTAATACTTCTGAGAATTTGCAACAATACCACAATAAATGTGCCTCCGGGCTATGGAGACCACCTGGAGAAGATTCCAGGCATGTGTTGATAATGTGGTGAACAAGTGCAGATTTTTTACTTTTTGAAGCTATTAACATACATTTGTTATCATGTTATTTTTCCATTAAAAACGATTGTCCCAGAAAGTGTTAACACTTTTTCGAAGCACCCTGTAATTGTGAGCTGTAATTATTTCAGCCAGTTAAACTTTTTTTTGTAATCTCAAACAAAAGAGGGAGGGGAAGGGAGTGGATGTGTGAAGGGCTCTGCGGACGTACGGGTGGTGAAGGTCCCCATAAGGGGATCGCTCTCCTGGAAGCTCTTGACGCTGATAAGGTTCACTTCGTACTCCGTGCCGGGGGTCAGGCGGGTCAGCATGACCTCCGTCAGCGACGAAGCCACCCGCCGGCTCTCGGGCTCGCCTGCCACATCACGACAAAGATCCCTCCCCGTTAGCGTCAGAGGCTCTGGGGGCATGTGACCCGCAGTAGTCTCCTGTTCCTGGAGGAACAGCTGGTGCATCTGCCAGTCATATCAGTCGCTGAACCCATTCCACCTGGGTCTGTTCCGTGACCTCCTGCCAGCGAGCCTTCGACACTTCACGTGGCCTCGAAGTGCACCTCGCCTGGCACAAACGGAGTGGTGGCATCACCGTCACTTAGTGGCGATTGGCGGGTATTGGTATGTGACCCGTTTTCAGCGAGCATACTGTATTTAGCAAAAGTCAAAGGGTAATGTTCCAATGCTACAAACCACACCAGTTACTCACTTAAGGCTGAGCTGATCGAGCAGAGACCCAGGATCGTTTAAGAAACGCAGTTCACTGGGTCCACAGCCATTATCCCATTACAATAAAACAAATCAACTGGCTCCTACAGCCCCTGTTCACATGGGAAGAGTGTTTAGTTGAGGGAGTCCACTCTTCGTCAATATCGCCCTCAGGGTTCTTCTATACATCCAAGTTTGAAAGCCATGCGACGGCTGAACGAGTCCCTTGCTGCCATCTCTCTTGAATTTGGGCCACTTGGCGGTGGTTCACAGCTTCTGCAGCAGTCCCATCAGCGGGATTTCTTTTTTATTTGCCACTTAACGAAGGTGGTAACCGGATCTTCAGTCTATTATACCCATACTCTTTGCTTTCCCACCTGATGATGGACGCTTGTGTTGCGCCCGAAACGTCGTGATTTATTTTATACCTACGTGACTTTACGGAAAGAACCAAAGAGTATGGATTCCTGCAGTCACGAAAGCTTCAAATCTATTATTCCCCTTATCCCCCCCCACTCTACCCCCCCGGACCACCCCTCTCCCCCTAGACCTCCCCCCCCTACTCAACCGACCCCCCCAGCACCGCCTATGCTAGCACACCTCCAGCCGTTGGGACGTAAGCGATCTTGAAGCTGTCTGCGTCGGCGGACGGAGCGATCCAGGCCACGACGACGGATGTCTCCCTGATGTCCTTAAAGTCAATGTTCCGGGGAGTCTCTATCGCTGCTCGCAGCCACGCACAGCGTTCGACGTTCGCAAGAGATACATACACATCTTGGCCGCGCGAGGCAGCGGTCGAGAGGCAAGCGACTCGAATCGCACGATCGACTTTGCAGACGACAAGTCGGGGCAAAAAAATAAAAACGAACGCAAATACATCAAGCGCGGGTCGCGATTAGTCGTGTAAAAAGTTAATGGGTTAGATAGATGTGATACTGCATACAGCGTGGAACCATGCGGTGTTATCTCCTTGCAAAGCGAACATGACATTTGTGCAGGAGACGGTGATCGGAATGGCAATGCAGTGAAGCGAAATGAATGTTAATCCAAGGTACACGTTGTGGAGATTTGCCATGAAAATCAGTGAATGGATTGGCATTTTGTTGTGGCATTTGGTTATCATGAAGGCGTTTGCCTTTCGTGAAAGGATGGAAGCATGCATGTGTTCCCTTATTCAGGTTTAAGCTGCTGGGCACAACCAGCTTAGTGGGGGGAGGGTAAGTTAGTGAATGGGGGGACAATGAAATAGCATAGAAAACTCTAACCAGCTGCCCTGCACCTCATATGGAACCGGGGTCACTATATTCGTGGCTGCGTCGTGAAAACAAAGGAAAAAAAATAACGTCTACATGTAACAGCCGTCTTGTCAATCCACTGCTGGATGAGGGCCTCCCCAAGCCTCGTGGATTATTTGACTGTACTTTACCGCGCTGGTCAGCGCAGGTTGGTGAACGCGGGCAGCGAAGACATGGGAGCATATTGCAGTACAACAATTCATTTTGCTGCCTGTCTCTCTGCTGACGATGCCCTGCAAGCAGTCTACAACAGCCTGTGTTTGTATCGACGGCGGTTGCTAGTCGGAGCAATGTCAAGGCTCAAACCTGCTTAGCATCCAATATCCCGATGAGATCAGAAGGATCCTGGGTGATTTAGTCCTAAGGTTACTCTCGCGGTTATTCCGATCAAAGGATTGGGGATTTGCAAACTCCCTCCCTCTCTCACCAAGCATCGACGTGCAGGAGGGGGATGGTCCCCCCCCCCCCCACCAGACTTGGTGCTTTTGCAAGAACTTGATGAAGCTCACGGGAGTTTACTCTGCATTGCGAGGCATGGCGTCAGCATGTTGTGGTTATCGCAATGGAGGGAGGTGTTAAACTGAGAGAGGAACCCCGTTGACCCGGTGCCCTCCTGCCCACGCTCGGATTTGCCCCAAATTCTCACCGAAATCACCTGTCACGTGGACATTTTTTTTTTGCGCGGACCCTCGCAGGTCAGGTGATGCAAATCGAGGGGCAAGGTGGTTCCCACGTGGGGAGAGTCTGGCAACAGTGCCTCCCTCTTCGCAGTTTAACCTCTTGCGGTGGGATGGGATGGCTTTTAAATCGGTGGCGTCACGCGACCCGGGCAATTCGCCGGATCCCCAAGGCACTCTCGGCAGGCTGAAATGAGAAGACTGTTAAAGAATGATCCGGAGAGGAAGAGCATTCGGATGCAAATGGGATGGATGGGTGGATCTGCGCATGGCACGCAAAAGAAGATTTCAAACGACATTTGAACAGATGGGGTTAATGTCCTTGCTTCACCGAGACCCACGCTGCAATTGTTACAAACAGAACACGTCCTTTGAAACGATGTCGCGACGAATTATCATTTCCTCTGGAACTGCATTGGAAACAAGTTTAGTTCACTTCATTAGCCCAGCTGTGACATTGGCATGGATATTTTTAGCAATTAACAAAAATACACCGATTCTTACATGCGGACATCGATGCGTTACACCGTGAGACTTACGAATAAATAATAAACGACAAACAGATGCAACGTTGCACCCCAAATAACAATACAGTTGTCAACACCCTCACCATGTTCTCATTAAGTAATTTAACTTAAAGCACGCGTTTTATTTCCATGTACCTTTTCCCTTAGCTGAGCTGCTGAAATCTGTAGTTAAACCACTGAGGAAGGAATATATCTCGGAGAAATAACCGTTCTCAGATTTAGCTTCGGGTGCCTTGCCGTCAATCACAGATGCAGACTTTACAAGTGTCACCTCCAGACCTGCTTCGTTGGGGGGCGGGGGGGGGGCAAAACAACGGGGCGTCAACAACAAAAAAACATTGAGAAGTGAAATGTCAAAATTTGCAAGCAAAAGAAGAAGAGAAAACAACACGCACGCGCACACGCACGGGTGGTTAGAAGTGACCAAGCTTTGCTCAGCCCTGTAAAGAGAAGGAGAGATGCGTTACGAAGCGGCGACGAGGAGGCACGGGGTCGTGAAAGCCCGAGGCGTTTGAATGACAGGCAGAAAGTCGGCACTTGAAACGGAGTGCGTGAACGGCAGCACCGGTGGTTGAATAAAGTTGAATTTTTTTTGTTTTAATAATTTATATCGAGGCAATGTGCGCGCCCGTTACATCACGTGGTGACTCACGTACACACCGTCGACCCGAGCCAAACTGGTTATGAAAAGGAGGGGATAGAAAGATGCAGAACCGGGCTCGCTGTCCCAAACCATACAGGGGTCCCACAGAAAGGATGGTGGGGCAAAAGAAGTTTAATATTGACTGCTCGGACATGGCTCGATTAGTGCTCGCTAAGAGAGAAGGCTGGCAAGCAGAGGTGAATGGCAACTTGTAATGTCAAGGCCCCTGAGTTTCCCCATTCATTTTGTTTCCCTCACATTATTGATGCCTTCAAAACAAACTCGTTTTTTTAATGCATGTTAAACTAAACACATCTTATTTTTGATAGAATGATTGTTACTGAAGCTTCAGTTTGATGAAGGATAGGGCAAAGCATGTGGTTTCAGAAAATGTGAGGTCAAAACATGTTCGTTTGAAATGATAAGTGCGTAAAAAAGACAACAACTTTAGGATAAAGAGTGAGACAGGCAAATGTAGGAGGAAATAAAAGTTGGTAAATGAAATACATTTTACATCACCTACATTTTTATTGTAGTAATAATAATGCTCTTTATTTACACGTGAAAACCTCTCAAGACTTTTGTAAGAGGATCCTGCTAAATTGGAGATGTTTGATCAATTAATGCAAATTAATGCCTCTACTGGATATCTGTTAAAAAGAGCTTCATAGCTCATCGGATTATTTTAGCCTAAATACAGATGCTGATTCTGAATGCCATTAACGAGTGTTTGGCACATGGGAGGAAACTGGATTAGCCAGAGAATACCCATGCATACGAAGGAGTAATGGTCAAAGCTTAGCGCCAGATAGATTCAAGAATCAATAGATTCAAGAATCAATAGATTCAAGAATCAATAGATTCAAGAATCTATTTTCTGTATCAGGTCGTCTGCCATCAATTCCCTCCAGGGACATGTGCTGCCCTTTTGTCAATCCATTGCTGGGTGACAGCGTTCCCACACCATGCACATCGTCAGGGCTATTTAACCATACTTCATCAATCTGGTCCATGGAAAGCTGCCCACAATACATCCTGGGGAGCTCAATTTCCATAAAAATGTATAATTTTGATAAATAAGTATTGTGTTCCTATAATGCAAAGTGTTAGTGAAAAGGGCACGAAATAAAGCAATGCGGCTATTTGTCTCTCGTATTGAATGTACCTTTGTCCCCTGAAACGTGATTGTCAGACCCGCGTTTGCTGTGGGGTATCGAGGCTGACACGTCTGTCAATTGGCTCGAGATTTCACCTTCATCCTTAAGCGTAGCAGCCAACTGCTTCTTGTGGACGCTGTCTGGACGCCTCAAATTAAGGCTTCTTCTCACGCGGACGGAGGCTGTGGCTTTTCAAGTACAGTGTACACAAACGGAAGATGTTAATCAACAACGTAGTGGTGGAGATTGACACATTTTTGCTTTGAGTACGCTATTTGAATACAATTAAATCAGATGCCCCCCCCCTCCTCCCCCCCGATAAAAGATCGTCGCCCAATGGGAGCTGAAACTCTACGCCCTGTTGATACGAACAAAAAAATTATGCTGTGGCCTAACATTGACCAAACACGGTTGAGAAGCTTAAATTCCATTCAAATCTCTCCGAATGGTAAGAGGTGCAGCCCTGTGATTGCTTGCACATGCCACTACTGCTGGGAGGGCTTCCACTACAGGGACCTCTGGAGGATATATTTTCTACCCTTTCCATGATGGCCAGATATCTTGGAAGAGGTGGGAATACACCGACACTTTGCCCTCCCGCCTGCAGGCAACCTTGCCCATCGTCGAACGGTGCTGATCCCATTCACACTGCCGGCGTTGGACAGGTGCCAGGGGGCGGAGGACGACGACGAAGAGGATTTAGGAAAATTTGCCAGGGTCGTTTCAACCGTCACGCTGGGGAGGTCGAATAGAACCAGCGACCTCTGCGTTGCAAAGTCGAGTTGTTGCTAACCGCTACACCGCCGCAGAAATGTCCTTTACAATGAACATCGGATCAAAACCGCATCTGTTTGCAATGCAATAAGAACAGTGTTCATACGTGATGAATACACCGACAGTTGAAGAGACAATGCTAAAATCGTTGCAATTAAAGTGTTTTGTTCGTGAGAAAAAAATAATGAAAAGGATAATCCAGTACCTGTCGTGACACGTATTGTCAGTGGCGGTGACAGGGTATCATCACGCACCCCTGCGAGTGAAACCACGTACTCGGTGTTGCCTTTTAGCCCTGAAATTTCGAGCGACCGGGAATCTCCGGCCACCACTACTTTACGCATCTTCCCGGCGGACACCGGCCCGTACTTTACGACAAAGGTCTGGAAAGCGAAGGGCTTCGACGCCCACGACAGCCTCATCGTTGAGGACTCTACGTCAATAGGGCTGAGGCCGTACAGCTCCTTGTCGACGGGGGGTGGCGTGGTCAACGCTGACTTGGCGTTCTCTGTGAATTTGCATTTTTGCACGTCGTTGGAGGCAGACTGTATCTCGACGTAGTCTGGTTCCCCCGTTTCTCTGCTATTCAGATCCTCATCCTCGGCGTTCGCTTCGGGGCACGGTGGCTGGAGGCTTCCTGAAGCTGTAGAAGTGGTGGAGACATTTTTTTCGGGGGGGAGGGGGGGGTGGAACGATTGAACAAATTAATTCACTTTTGCCATGTCATGGCTAAGAGGATAAACATGCAGGGTGCCGTAAATTAGGTTTTATCTGAAAAGCGTTTTTTTTCTTCTCAAGGCAGATATGCTTTCTCACCTGTTGATGGACGCCTGTGTTGCGTCCGAAACGTCGTGATTTATTTTTTATTTTATACCTACGTGACTTTACCAAAAGAACCAAAGAGTATGGATTCCTGCAGTCACGAAAGCTTCAAATCAAGATTGAAGGCAGATATCTTGGTGATATTTTTTTTTTTAAGGTGCGGCCCTACAATCGCTTGCTCATGCCAATGCTGGCAGAAGGTGCTCAACTCGCATAAGCCCTAGAGTCCCTCGAGAGGGTATTTTGGCCTATTCTTCCACACTGGCTCGATTTCACAGAAGGAGGTGGGAAGTCCCCACATTAATGCTGCTCGGTAATGAGAGGTGGAGGTGAGGGGGGATTTAATAAATGTTGCCATTCTAGATTTGAAGTTTTCGTGACTGCAAGGATCCATACTCTTTGGTTCTTTCTGTAAAGTCACGTAGGTGAAAAAAAATATAAGAATACAAATAAAGAATAAAACATATATATTCTTTATTTTTATTCTTATGTTTTTTTATTGTATTTATTTTTTCACCTACGCGACTTTATCGAAAGAACCAAAGAAATGTTCCCATTGTTTCAACCGCCCCATCCGGGAGATTGAATCAAACCGGCGGACCCCTGGATTTGAAAGTCCAGTGCGCTGACCATCACAGTACGGAAGCATCCTCATATATCTGTCATCATACAAAATGTGTGTTTTAAAAAATAATTTTGTATGATGACAGTATGGAGGGAAACGTCTTGGCGTCTTTATACGGAAGACAACTCTCGGTGACAAACAAAGGTTGGGGGTGGGACGAGGAAGCACTGCGCAGTCACTCCAAGCCACGCTGGCGACAACCTGAAAGACAAATCTTCCCAAAGTAAAGTGTGCATTGAATACTTAAAACGCAAGCTCTACATCTGGACGCAACCCTCTCCTCCGGTCTGGCAACTCTCTGCAGAAAAGAAACGTTTTTAAATGCACACCAGATGTGTGGGTAGCTCTCCGATTGGTTTACTGGGTTTGTAACGGGCGTCCGACGTTTCGAAACCTCTGGGAAGCTCCAAAGCACGTGGAAGGAAAGGTGGTCAGACGCAAGTCGAACGACGTGCAGATCCAACCCGGACAACACATCAGAGATGTTTTTTTTTTGCTTTCTCTCTTACATATATCAAAGATAAGGCGAGACATTTGAGGCAATCGAAGAGAGCGAGAGAGGCGAGCGGCAATGCGCTCTGGGTAATGTACCTGTGAAGACGTCACCAATCAGGGGTTTGGACGAAGACACTCCTTTGACGGAAATGACCCGCACTCTGTACTCTGTGTCAGGTTTTAAGTCAGACAACACCACATAGTTTTGTCCTCCACTCACTGCGACCGTGTGTGGCTCTCTGTTCCTCTGGCTGTACTTGACAATATAGTAGTCGGGTGTAGCGGGTGGCGATGCCCAAGATGCCACTAAGCTGGTCGGAGTGATATCCGAAAACCGCATTGCAGTGGCCGGCTTGCAGCCTGGAGTGGGCATCATAACACACACGCTGTGAACAAACTTATACACATAATAGCTGCGCACAAGACTTTGTGAATATGCCCGGAGGTAGATTGGCAATTAGGCATGTACCGATTCAACTTGTCCACCCGCCCCCTGCCTTGCTACCCCAAAAACTTGGCATTTGAAGAATTGTGTTAGGATTTGGGGGTTATAATCCAATTGAAGAATTCACTCTAGTTGTCGTCTATCTCACACGTTGTCTCACTTTGTTCCTTTAGCCGGAAAAAAAAAACTACATTTGCATACAATTACTTGACCATAAGAATCGATCTAAAGTAATGAATAATTTACATGCTCAATAATTCCCAGTGAAGGTGAGACTTATCCGATATATGAGTAAATGTTGTGTGCAAGAAGACCAAGTGAAAATGGTAAGCAACTTTTGTCGTATCAATATTGATGGCAAATTGGTATTTTGTTATTGTTGTTAAATTCACTGCATTGTTAGTCCAGGTCGTTAAAAACACATTAAGTAAATTACAGGTTAGCGTATAACAAATACGACCATACATTCAATTGCAGTATTTATAACATTAAAGTACAAACTATTTGACAATGAAATTCCGTAAAAGCCTGCGTTCTAAAAGAATTGGAAAGAACATTTTAGATTTCACATTTCAGTTGCAAATTTAGAAGATTAATTCATATTTCAGAGTTAAACTATAACATTGTATAAATAGCTCAAGGGGTTTAGAGGATGGAGATATGATCAACGTACTCCTGTAAAATTGAATAATCAATTGGTTATCTTAAACATTACGTAAAATATTAAATTAATATTCACGTAATTTACGTGACAAGGTGGCGCTGTGTCAGAGCACTCAACTCTAAACCAGAAAGTTTGCCAGATTAAAACGAGATCATGGGTCGACACGGCTCATCATCAATGACGAATTTATAATTAAAAAATATTCTGATGCGGTTAATAAATTGAGTCAAGAGTTGGTCCACAAATGTCCTGCCATTTTTAAATCCTTTATATTAAGTTCTCTTGCTTGCTTGCTTGCGTGCTTGCTTGCTTGTTTACGACCGTGCAAATATTTCGGTCGTTTTTTAACCCACTTCCCGTGATCCAATCGAGCTGACATTTTCCACACAGACTCGTTGTGAGAGACAATTAATGTTCGTGAAAAAAAATTCCCAAAATGTTACACTGTTTAGGGAAAACAAATTAAATATTTAATTACCAATTGCTTTATACTGGCAGACAATCATCTGACCCATAGGTGGCAGCCATCTCAAGCCAGAGGACGAGAAGACTTTAGCCGCCACGCATATAAAGGATTTATAGTGAAAAACTTTGTTTTTACGGGTTTACTTGTTAGTGGCCCAAATTCAAAAGTTTTTGTTTTTCCCCAATAAAAATTTAAGATACAAACATCATTGTCACCCACGATCAAAACACACTGCTGGATGATGGCCTCTCCAAGTCCTTGCCATCTCTCATGCTTCTGCGATGCAACAATCCAACAAGCACTTGCGCACAAATTGATCTCATCTCCTCCGTCTCCATGGCGAACGTCTGCGATGAGTTGAATCCCTCTGCTGCCAATCCATCACTCATTCTTGACCATTGGCCCCACTCATTCTTGACCATGCCTTGCAGCTACGTGACCTACCTAAGCCAACTTACTTTTTCCGACGGAATAATGCGTTTAACCTGCGTATGTTCTCTCATCCGTGTCTTCCTCTTTCTGTCCCTCAATGTAATTCCAAGCATTTTTTATTTATTTACGTGCTTAGATGTGCACGGACATTTAACTATTTTCCATGCCAAATTTCAACTTTCCATCCCTTTTAGAACATCATGAGAATTTACAACAGACATTGAATAATGACCATATATAACATATAAGAAGCCTTAATAAACAATGTCCTATCTCCCCAGTCTCTCCGTTGGTCAGGGCCTGGCACGCTGTGCAAAATTGTCATCCTTAGATTCAATATATTTCAAATCCTCCAGATACAATCGATTGTAATCCGAAGTTAAAAAACTAACGAGAGTTCAGGAGAACTGTCCTGGCATTTTTGGGGGCCACAATGAAAGCTTTCACGTTTCAATTTTGTTCTACTGATAATCTTAAGCATGACTTATATTCTTATCAAACATTTGCTCTAAAGCCCTTGCAGAACATCATTACAATGCACTGTATAACATCAGTGCAGTTGCAGGACTCCCATGGGCCTTTCCTGCTGAAATAAATAAGATATTAGTCACTCACTTACTGGTGACTATCTGTCGTCATTATCATCAACACAATCCATGGGCAGATACCTCTTAGGTGTCCACTACACATTTCGTCACTTATTTCCACTTTCCTCTGTCTTGTGCCAAATATGCCCAAGTAGTGCACATCTTATCTTATATATAAAAAAAAAATCCGGACACGCGGTGCTCTTAACATATCGACGTTCCGACCCACCAGTCTTTCCGCTGGTGAAGGCCCAGGCGCTGTGTACAGACCCCTTCTCGGCCCGCAGGCGGATGGCGTACTTTGTGCCTGGCTCCAGGTCAGAGAGGGTGGCCGTGGTAGCGTCGGCCGGGACGGTCACCTCCCGCCCGTCGTCGCTGGTCTCCGAGGCAAACGTAATGGTGTAGCGGTCGAAGCTGGTGCTGGGAGCCGTCCAGCTGAGCGAGATGGTGGTGTCACTAGAATTGGTGACCTGCAGGTCCTTTGGACCGTCAATGACTGCAAAATAAGGCCAAGCGGGGGGGGGGGGGGGGGGGGGTTAAAGGGGCTCTCGAACGTTTAAACACCAGACTCCTCATTCTTTGTGGCTGTAAAATAATTGAAGCAGAGAAATTATCATGATTTGTATTTATAAAGCAAGTGCATGTCCCAGCAACTCAGAAGGGGGACCCCCTCAGGGGCAGCTGTTCCTGTGTGTGACATGTAGCCGGTTGTAGGCTTACCTGTCATTAATCGCACGTATAATGATGCACTCTGTAGCATACGAGGACCTAAGAAACACAGCTCAACGGAGAGCTGGGTGCGTTTTTTGTCATTATTATTCAAGATGAGGAAATAGCATACCTGTCAACCCATACAGTTTACCCGTATTCTTGTACAGGGAAAATTAGTTTTCAGGTTCATATGGCGTTACAGCCGTTTCATTACGGTAAATTTTTTTAACGTCTATTTCTTTGTGTTTCTCCCTTGTGATGGGACTGTAGAATGAACATTGAGGTTGATAAGGGCACGGGGTAACCAATGAGGTCTGAATTGGTCTGTAATTAGGCCGGGCACTGATAAGGGGCTGACAGGTTTGTGAGCGGTACAGGTGTTCTTGCAGAGGTTACGTTCCCGATTCGTGTCTAAGAAAGAATACTTGTTACATATGTTTATTGTCAGTAAAATATTATTTTTCTAATTTACATAATGTTCATATAATTTGATATTTAAAAAATAATGTGTTTATTACGAATGATAAAAGTTTTGTCTCGTTTATGCAGTAATATTCAGGGGCTGTAGGAGGCGCTAAAGATTTTTTTTGGCCGATATGAGACGTTAAAATGTTGCCTGTGAAATGTGTGTTAAATATAATATGCATGCTAAATTTTGTTCGATATGATAAGCGGCTGTCATCGTAACTGAGATTTGGGCTAACTTCTGGACCGAGGAATTCAGCTTCGTAAAAATTATTGCAATTAAAGCGTTTAACGGACGATGTAAAATCGACCCTACCAGTTCGTCCGGTCGTACTTGCTGGAGCACTTCCTTTGCTTCCCTTCACAGCCACCACAGATATCTTGTATTCAGTTCCAGGCTGCAGGCCTAGAAAAGAAATCAAGAAAATAAATCAATGAACGTCCCCCTTCTACAACAAACTCATCTAACGCCTTCGAGTGCAAATTATCATCATCGCCTTCGGGGCGCATCGAGGCTGTAACAGATCAAAGTCTAATTCAACATTAACAAAGTGATATTATTAAACAAAAGCACACCAAAACTTGGATCGCAACATTTTCAAGTACACTAATATTGTGTGGCCCGTGTCCCCAGGGCCACTCATCCAGAAGTGATTTGACAAAAGTGTTTGCCAACGTGTAATTGTCAGTTTAACACACACATTCTTGATTTAAAGCTTTCGTGACTGCAGGAACCCACACTCTTTGGTTCTTTCGGTAAAGTCACGTAGAAGGGAAATAATAAAAATTATTAAAATAAAACAATAAAATAAAAGACAGCGTCTTTCCGACAGCCCTGTTCTTCACCTGAGGACGGCTGCTTGCGTTGTGGCCGAAACGTCGTGAAAATTTTATTGTTTTATTTTTCTTATTTTATTATTTCCCTTCTACGTGACTTTACCGAAATAACTATTTTTATACCTACGTGACTTTACCGAAAGAACCAAAGAGTAACACACATTAATTTTTTTTTTGCTGTGGTTGTCCCACCTGATGACGGAAGCTTGTGTTGCTTCCGAAACGTCGTGATTAAATTTAGTTACTTCTATTTTCTATTCTTATTTTTATTTTCACCTACGTAACTTTACCGAAAGAACCAAAGAGTAGCACACGCATTGCTTAAATGCAAGCCTATACAGGTCACCATTTATCAATGGGGGTTACCGTTGAACAGACAATAATATATTCTTATTCATATTCTTAGTTTGTTTCCGTAAAGTCACGTAGGTTAAAAAAAAAGATAAAAGTAAAATAAAAATAAAATCACGACGTTTCGGAGGCAACACAAGCTTCAGACAATAACAGTTACTGCTATTTCAGTGGACAACTCACCAGTGATGGTTGTCTTAGTGGTAGGCTGTGGCTCTTGTACACCTTGATGTCGCCTGGTGGGTCACCCGACGAGGTGGTGTAATGCACCGTGTAGTGGTCGATGGGAGACTGGGTGTTCTCCCACTCGATGTCCATCGTCGAGTCGGTCACTGACACCACCTGCAGATTCTTTGCCCCGTCAATAGCTGGGGGCAAAATGAACCGCACGTGTGAACTTTGTAAGGGTGTATCTTGCTTGACAGGCAGGCAATTGACTTCGAGATTTATCCAAGAATGTCTGTGTGCAACGCACGTGGCGTCAGCCATTAATTATGATGAACGGGTGACGTCACTCCGCGTTAAGAAGGTGGAGCGGGAAACGAACATTTGTTTATGCAAATTAGCTTTCATTTTGACCTTTCTTTATGGAAAGTAAAGCTAATAAAAAAATCAACGCAGCGACTAACATAACGAGCCAAAAGGCTGTGTGTGTGTCCCGCGCGTGACGTCACTCCACATGGGGCAACCCCCTCATTAATAATCATGAGCTGAATCATTTTTCTATTGAATATTTCCCATTTCCTTCAATATACACCCGTCCTTGGACGGGCAAACAAGCTAGTAATTAATTTTACTCTACTGCTTTCAGACAATAGATTTAAATGTTCTCCCACTTTCCATTTGCTAAAAGAAATACGCATTAAAAACTTTTTGTAATGCACAGACATTCTTGATGTGTACCTGACATCACCCTTGCAGTCAATGGTTTGGAATATTTCCTTCTTTTCTTTGCAACTATTGTAACTTCATACTCTGTGCTCCCCTTCAGATGTTTAAGCACAATGGTTTTAACGTTGCCGGGTACAATCTGTTCCAAAGGTCTATCAGCACTATCCGTGGGCTTGTATTTCACGACAAATTTGTCAAACACATATTCGTCCACCACCCACGAAACTCTGATGCTGTGTGGCTTTATCTCAGAAATATACAGTTGGTTTGCAGAGTCGAGTGGAACTCCGGATATTGCAAACACAGATACAACTTCCGTGTCAGGGAATGATGTGGTATGCACAGGGACATCGGTTTCAGTGGGTATCGCTGTTGTGGCAAGCTTCATGCCTTTATCCTTTGACATTGCTGTTAGAAAAGAAGAAAAAATGTTACTCTTGCTAGGACATAAACAAGCATTCAACAGTAACACATCATCTTCTTAAACACTGTGAAAGAAAACAGACATGCTTATTAAATGCATAATCCATTTCCTGCAATTTCACATTAGTGATAAAATGTATCGATATAAGTCAGATAATCGTCGTGGACAAGTTTATCAATATTATAACATGAAAGAATACCTGTGATAATCTTTGCTGAAACAGGTTTGGAGAATCTCCCTCGTTTTATGCCAAGGATGGATATTTCGTAAACCGTGCTTTCAAGAAGTCCTTTAATTTTAACCATGGAGTCATGGCTGGACACAATGCGGTCCAAAGGTTTTTTTGAGCTGCAGGTAGGTCTGTATCGGATGATGAATTTATCGAACAAGGTTGGATCTGATTTCCATGAAACGACAATGCTATCGTCGCTTATCTCAGATATTGTGAGTTCATTGGCGGATTGAATTGGAACACCAGGAGAGGCAGTCACTGTTATCTGCTGGACATGCCGTGGAACTTCAGTCGTGGGTACTGCATGGTACGTTGAAGTATCTGCAGTGGACTTCACTTTGGTCTCTGTAAAAGAAATATATTTAGTTAGTATGTAAACTGTTATACAATTAGACCTTGTTTTCACGGACAACCAACTCGAATCGACTCAAGTACACTTGATTTGGCCGGAATTTGAGTCAAAAGAGAATGTAAATTTTATATTTTTTAAGGACAACTCAGACTGCTTAAAAGTAAAGCGGTCTTTTCCTGATTTACTGAGTTACTCAATTCATCATGTGAGTTGGGCAGATCTCTCCCAAAAATAGGTCAAGATTGCACCGCTGATGAAATTAAATGCTCAATTCAATGTTTTTACCGCCGACAATGTTGTTTTAAATTCTGATGCAGGGAATTCAGGCCAGCTTGAGAAGCAAAAAATCGGCCTGGAGAATTTGGACTTCAGCTCAACATGACGACCAACTCGAGGTGACTAAAATATGGAAATGAATTCGCGCTCATCGTAATAATTGTATCAAATTAAATACCTGTTGTTACTTTCGCCACCAGAGGCTTGGAAAACAATCCACGCCTTGCACCAAGAAGAATAATAGTATACTCAGTGTTTTCTGTTAACTCGAATATATCTAAGACGGAAACGTGCCCAGCCAAATTTCTTTCAAATGGCTTTTCAATACTGCCTGTTGGCTTGCAGCGCACAATGAAGCGGTCAAACACTTTCGTGTCTACTACCCACGAAATCCTAATGCTATTGGCTGTGATGTGAGATATAATAAGTTCATTGGCAGAATCGATTGGCACCCCAGAAACAGATGTCACTGAAATAGTTTTGTCGGGGAACTTCGTGGTAATTTCAAGGTCTTCAAAAGTAGTTATTGGTTGTGAACCTTCAACTACACCTGCGGGTTCTGGAGGTGTTAAAAGTTTAATTTCTGGAAAAGAAAAAAAACAGTTTTTTTGATGATGAGGCATTCTCTAAAATACATAACTAAACAGCAGCTGTTAAATATATATCAAAATACATGTGCAACTCCTGTAAGTAGATTATATATTTTTTTGCAGTATATTACCATGTCAATCTAAACGTGTTACTCTTTTGAATTCACAATGGTAAGATAGTTGATACATTTATCAAGTGAAAACCACATTTCATTACCAATATTAATTTTGATAGGGATTTTTTTGACAAAATACTAGGAGATGGGGTGAGTGGGATATTTATGTTGAGTTACACCATTGTAGACACAGAAAGTAAAGTTTGGTTGAAGATATTAGATTAATTGTTGAAAGTGTTTTTTGAGGACTGTCAGTGGGCTTGTATTGCACAATACATTCTTTGATTACCCACCCATGATACTGTCATGCTATCAGACGTGATATCACATATGTCAAGTTTGTTGACAGTATCAGTTGGAATCTCAGACACTGAGATTATTGAACAATCATGTGGAGGTGATACATGTGTAGTACTTCTTGAAGATTAGCATATCTGTCCTATCAACTAACATGGCTTTGGAGTCTGTAAAATTGAGGGGTGGTGGTGAAACTTTTACCATTACCGTAAAAATAAATATTGGTTCATATTTATAAGAATTTCAAGCAGCTTTCATAAGTTTTGTTAAAATATACTATAATTTCAGGACGACAACCTATAAAATAACCAACTTCAACTTCTGCCACCAGTGGCTTTGAGGGATTTCTTTTCCTGTAGGTATTCAACATTCATCTATATTTAGTACTTTCTGTCAGGTACAGGATATCATATGTTGACACGTGACCAGGTAAGGCAATTTTAAATGGTTTCTCAGGACTGTTCGTGGGTTTGAATTGCACAATAATCTGTCAAAGACCTTTGGATCTACCGCTGTAGGATTGTCATGCTAGCGCATGTGATGTCAAATATGACAAGTTCATCAGCAGACTCACCAGGAGTCTCTGTCAATGTTTTAGCAGTCCCTAAATTGCTAAAGGAATGCAAATCTATAAAAAAATTTGACCCTTTAAAAGGATCCGCATTTATGTAACAATATGTATGATGTATTTTTCAAGGTATTTTTCATTCCAGTAATGTCTTAAGAAATTTTTGATATTTCAAACTGAGAAGAGCTACTAAAGCCCATGAGGAATTGCTGTTGTTCATTCTCGAATTCGATAGCGCATTGATACTTAAATAAACGAATATTACACGGTGCAAACATTCCACAACATTGCAAAGGAAATGCCACGTGTGATAAACGGTAACCGGGTATCGGGTACCCGATTTACGACCTCTAGTCTGGCGCACCGTTTATCACACGAGTGGCATTTCCTTTGCAATGTTGTTGAATGTTTGTGCCGTGTAATATTCGTTTATTTAAGTATCAATGCGCTATCGAATTCGAGAATGAACAAGAGCAATTCCTCATGGGCTTTAGTAGCTCTTCTCGGTTTGAAATATCTAAATTTCTTAAGACATACTGGAATGAAAAATACCTTGAAAAATACATCACACATATGTTACATAAATGCGGGTACCCGTTTGCGACCCTAGTGCGGCGGGGTACGGGTACGGGTAGGCCGTGAGTCACTGGTGAGTCACCGTTTGTCACTCATTTCGGGTAGGTACGGGTAGAACGAGTACCCTTTGCGACCCTGGTGCGGCCGGGTACGGGTAGGCTGTGAGTCACTGGTGAGTCACCGTTTGTCACTCATTTCGGGTAGGGTACGGGTAGGGAATGGGTAGCCGTTTGCGACCCTGGTGGGTACAGGTAGGCCGTGAGTCACTGGTGAGTCACCGTTTGTCACTCATTTAGGGTAGGGTACGGGTAGGGAACGGGTACCCGTTTGCGACCCTGGTGCTGGCCGGGTACGGGTACGGGTAGGCCATGAGTCACTGGTGAGTAACCGTTTGTCACTCATTTCGGGTAGGGTACGGGTACGGAACGAGTACCAGCACCCGGCCGTGTACGGGTACCCGTTTGTGACCCTGGTGCGGGCCGGGTACGGGTAGGCCGTGAGTCACTGGTGAGTAACCGTTTGTCACTCATTTAGGGTAGGGAACGGGTACCCGTACCCGGCCTACGGGTACCCATTTGCGACCCTGGTACGGCCGCGTACGGGTAAGGAATCAAAACCGTTTGCGACCTCAGCGCCAGACTAAGGGCCGACTGCGAGGGAGAGCGTCCAGTCGCGACGGAGACTACTCGGCGCCGCTCCAACGCCTCACTGATTCTTGTCCGGTGGTGAAGGACAAGGGACGGGAATCTTTAAAATATAACCTTCCACTGATGCCTTGAAACATCAGTGGAAGATCCCTTACAAGTAAGTGTACATCATTATTTTTTTATCGTGTCTGTAGGGATTCATATTCTTGGTTTCTGCTCGGTGGAGTCACGTAGAAGGTAAATAATAAAATGATTAGTGTTCATATATTTTTATTTTCTTATTTCCCTTCTACGTGACTTTACCGAAGAACCAATAATATACATAATTATTATTATTACATTCAAGCCGTCGGAAAAATAACGCAAACCCCCTCCCCACCCCTCGCAATCGTTAAGGGATTACTGTACAGTATAGGCAATGGACACTTTAAAAGTTGTAGCTAATGTTTAAAGACAATCTGAAAGGGTGAAGTGCAACACTACAACAAAAACTATTCAAGCACCAGACATCTACAATGTGTTTTGACACAAATATGACACGTTTTACGATTAATGTATCGGTGGTATTGACAAGAATTAAAAGACAGATGGTGACTCAGGCCGAGAAGAATGTTGTAAAGGAAGATAATTTTTAAGAAATAAAAAAGTGAATTTTTACAAAAAAATTCAAGTGAAAAAAGCAACACATGAAAGATTAATTGAGTTAAATGAGGGAAATGTGCGTTACATTCAGTGTTAAAGACTATAAAAATGTAAAATTACGTATCATTCTTCACAGGCAGACCTAGGCGATTCAACAATGGATGGCTCTGCAAGGAAACTTAAAAACATTGCAAATTTTGAATGTTCTATTGAAAATGTGGAATGTTCACGTAATGATAACAAGGTTTAAATATACGAAGATGTACCTGTCTTAACTTGAGCCAACAGGGGCTTGGAGGGCTTTCCTCGTCTGAAACCAATGAGCTTAATGATATATTCAGTATCATCGCTCAAGTCTGTAAGATCAACTGTAGAAACTTTGCCAGACAATGTTTTTTCGAGTGGTTTCTCAGAACTGTCAGCAGGCTTGTATTGCACAACAAAGCGCTCAAAGACGTTTGGATCAACCACCCACGACACCTTCATGCTCTCAGACGTGATGTCAGATATCACAAGTTCATTGGCAGAATCAGTTGGAACCCCAGACTCAGAAGTTATTGACACCTCCTTTGAAGGTTCGTGTGTGGTACTTATAGGCAACTCAACAACGGTTGGTGTAATGGCCTCATCGACGACTGCCGTGGGTAAAGGAGTTGATTTTGGTTCGGGCTCTGCAAAGTAAATGAAAGTAATTGTAAGCATACCACATACTCTTTCAAAACGTGAGACATGTTTAGTTCATTAAGAAAATATTAAAGCATATGGAGATGTACCTGTCTTAACTTGAGCAACCAGTGGCTTGGAAGGCTTTCCTCGCCTGTAACCAATGAGCTTAATAATATATTCAGTGTCGTCGATCAGGCCTGTAAAATCAACTGTAGAAATGTGTCCAGGCAATGTTTTTTCTAATGGTTTCTCAGGGCTGTCAACAGGCTTGCATTGCACAATGAATCGCTCAAGACTTTTGGATCTACCACCCACGACACCTTCATGCTCTCAGATGTGATGTCAGATATGACAAGTTCATTGGCGGAATCAGTAGGAACCCCAGACACAGATGTTACCGAAACTTCCTTTGAAGGTTCGTGTGTGGTAGTTGCAGGCAACTCAACAACGGTTGGTGTAATGGCCTCATCGATGACTGCCGTGGGTAAAGGTGTTGATTTTGGTTCAGGCTCTGCAAAGTAAATGAAAGTAATTGTAAGAAAAAGACATACTCTTTAAAAATGTGTAGACTGTTTAGGTAATAAAGAAAATATTAAAATATATGAATATGTACCTGTTTTAACTTGAGACACCAGTGGCTTGGAAGGCTTTCCATGCCTGAAACCAATGAGCTTAATTATATATTCAGTGTCATGGCTCAAGTCTGTAAGATCACAGTAGAAACTTTGCCAGGTAATGTTTTTTCGAGTGGTTTCTCAGAACTGTCAGCAGGCTTGTATTGCACAACAAAGCGTTCAAAGACATTTGGATCTAACCCCCACGGAACCTTTCATGCTCCGAGACGTGATGTCAGATATGACCAGTTCATCTGCAGAATCAGTTGGAACTCCAGACACTGATGTCACTGAAACCTCCTTTGGAGGTAAGCTTGTGGTAGATAATGGTG